AAAAGTAGTAAAGTAGAAGTACCAGAGTGCAGGAATATTCTGTTACAAGTAAGAGTCTGCCTTCAGAATGTTACTCAAGTTAAAGTACAAAGCATCAAAATTAAAGTAGCGACAGTAAAAGTAGTCATTGTGCAGATTGGTCCATTTCAGAATAATATATTTGATATGTTTTATAATGATTGTTCATGAAAGTGTTCTCAAAGCTGGTAAAGGTGCAGCTAGTTTGAATGACTTTGTATACTGCAGGGTAGCTTGTGGATTTACTCCAGGTGCAACTAAAGTCTGATTTAACACTTGATTATATTTCACATCATTCATCCACATCTGTAAAGTAACTGAAGGTATTAAATACATGTAGTGGAATAAAAGTACACCATTTACCTCTGAATTGTAGTGAAGTAGAAGTACAAAGTAGCAACAAAATGTTAATACTTCAGTACTGGGAAGTTACTGAATACATATACCCTAGTACTGTACTGCAATTATAGGTGCCTGTGTTGCTTTACTTTTCAAAAAATTCTATTTTATAATACTTTTTATTATAAAATCCACTATACTTCGGAGGGAAACATTGTACTTTTTACTAATTTGCCTTTATTCGTCAACATTGGTGACTTGTTGCTTTGCAGGTTCATATCATTTATACAAAATATAAATAATGTTTTTATTATTATAGACTAAGATACCTAGCATTATCAAAAGTCGTTAAAATTAGCTTCACCTTTCCAGCTTTAAAACGTAAAGGATGTACACAAAACTGAAATTAATTTGTATCAATTAAAATCAAGTAATACAAATGATTGCAGTACTTTTTCTTGTAACATAGTATTTCTTTATTAATATTTTTTACTATATATATATATTTTTTTTTAATTTATGTATAAATGCACTCTTTTCCAATAAAAATAAGCAGCGCTATAGCTCTAAAAGCTGTTAAATATAGAGAGAACATCGCAAAGCTGCAAACACTGCCCGTCCCTTCAGGCCTCGCTTTAAGTCAACCACCCCAAAATGATCATTATGAACAGATCGTAATGAACATCAACTATTTTAAGGCTGTTGTAGCTCACAGCTGTCAAGCTAGTTTCTTGTGGAAATGGAAAACAAGTAAGCCGGCAGGTCAGGCATCAAATCGTTTATTTCAAGCCAAATATATTACAGTCAGATAACAGACACTTGTTTGTCCTTTTTATGTCAGATATTTCCACATATGTTGTTGCATACTGTTTCTTTGAACTCTTTTAAACAAATGTATGTTTCTCATGACCACACAAATACACACTCACATAAACATATAAAACACACACACAAGCAATACATTGTACTTGTGAATTTATCTTGTGGTCTTTAAATGTCAAATCTAAATCTTGAAGGTAACTATTGTATCTGTGTTTAATAAAATGTAGTAGCCTAGATTACAATATAAGAAAATACAAATACAGTGTTCTTTGTGCAATGTTATGAAGTAAAAATACAGCTGGAAAAAAAGAAAATACTCATGCAAAGTTCTGTAGAATAAGTAAATATACATAAATTGTATAGTACACCACTTGAGTAAATAGTAGTTTTTTTCTCCCCCAAATTGTTCTGTTTATAAGGCTGATGCTTCCATCCCCTAATCATTTTAAGTTTGGAAATGACTGTTTCCTTCACACTCTCCCCTCCTGTTCCCTCTGTGGGGGGGCTGGAGCTGAAGCACTCAGCTTTACAGATGTTTGGGACTACCAGACTACAATGACCTAATACTTCCTTCTGCTGCTGGACATAAGGAAACTGCAGGTCGATTGTATCACATTCATAATGTAAAGAAATAGCTGATTGCTTAAAGAGCAACTTCCAGGTTAAAGACACTTGTGAATAAATGTGTAGGAAAATGATGTATACACTAGATTTTCCAAAAAAAGATACATAAATATACACTACAGTGACATCTGGCTTCGTTTTTGTAAGACATTTTTACTTCCGCATAAAAAAAGCCTCCCCACGTGACCTCCCGCGTGTGACGTAACAAAGGGGAAACAAGGGGGAAAGCGGCCGGTGTAACGTATTAATAAACATGGATCCCAATGCTAGTTTCGACACAGAAGACACAGAAGAAGTTGAACATGTATATTCGAATGCATATGACGGACCACAACCTTATAATTATGAGCCTGCTAGGCATCCAAGAGACCAGGAGCAGCCAAGGATTAGAAGACATAATGGCCATCGGAGAGAAATTGAGCTGTGGTGTGAGGAGAACCAGTGGAGAACTGGGCAGCTATCTTGGTGAGTGACCGGCGTTAGCTACAGAATGTTAGCTAACGTCACATCACAACATTGTAAAGTTAGCTATCATATATCAGGCTATAACTAAGTAGGCATTTATCAATATAGTAATGTTACTGGCACGACGGTTGA